TTACGCTCAACGCTATCCGCAATTTTCAGACATGAGACAATTTCCGAGTATGCGGGTTAGTTAAGCTTTTACTGTTAAAGGATGACTGCATGAAGCAATTTCCCATCTCCTGATTTCAGCAATGTCCTCTTTTTACTTACTTTTACCAAATTACTTTGCTTGCAATACCTGCTAAGGGGAAACTGTTATACAATGAAAATTTAGAAAATGTTAAGAATTTTGATTCAAGTTAAATTATTTAAATATTAATATGAGTGGAAGAATAAATTGTATTTATTAAAATGAAATAAATTGTATTTATTAGGTGCCAAGCAAATATAATAAATATGACGTATTTTTATTAATTTTCTCTTTTTTGAACTGAAATTTCATAATTGAAACTTGTAATGTAGTTTATTTCTGCATAGTTTTCTTCCTCTCACTGTAAACTAGTTCTGTAATTTGAACTGTTATTTAAAAATAAAAGTAATTGTTTTCCATGGTTCAGTAATGCTCATTCTCTCTTAATAAATATTGAATTTCTCATATTTTAAATTACAAGTCTAATTTTTCTCTCAAGGTTATGCAGATGTGAATAATGTAATTAGGTGCTTAATTTTTTTTTCTTAAAATGTGCTTGAAAAGCAATTATAGGTAGGTGCTTTATTTTTATAACTAAAATGTGGCTACTAATCCTGCTGGCTCCATGTATACACTGATGGTTCAGCAGAAGGCACTATAAAAAACGCTAGTGCTGGAGCATACTGAAGTACTTTCAGTATTAGCTATCCTGTTGAGAAACACTGTGACAATTTTGATGGGGAGATATCATTTGCAATTGATAAATTGAAAAACAGTCCTGATCGCAATATTGTGTTTCTCATCGAGGCTACTATATTGTCGCTTTTGAATTCAAAATACAATGAAAATGCACATACCCATACTTGTAGAGCAAGGTTTTTTTTATCTTAGAAATTCTAGAGAAAACATCACCCTCCAATGCATTCCAAACCATTGTGGCATTTTTGGTAATGAGCAGGCCAATAGACTTGCTAAAGCTGGTTCTCTTATAATTCAGCCTGATTCTCCTCTTCCTTTGCATAACATCAAAAGGATTGTTAACAATAAAATTAAGAATAATAGAATGACCTTATACAGAGATGCAGCTGTGGGTAAGAGGTGGAACATTCTGCTTAACATAAAGAATAAAATTCCCAATTCTATACCTCAAACTGATGAAGTATCTTGTTTTCAAATGCTAACTGGGCATGATTATTTACAAAGTCAATTATGTCATACTGGAATCAAGAATTCAGCTTGTTCCTGCTTATGTCATCAAAGTGACATGGATGGCAGCTATCTCAACTGCCCCAAGTCTTTTAATGTCAACACTTTTGATGCTAATTTTTATTCTCATTTTCATTTTACTGGGCTGCTCGTCGCTTACTGGCAGAAGTACCGCGGACAAGCGTAGGATTAAAAATAAATAAATAAAAAGTTAGGTGTCTTGTCAGCTAAGTGTCACAGACCCTTGAATTAGTTCTCTCAGCACAGTATGCAAGGGACACATTTTCTTGCATAGTACTAATCTGGCTTGTGTACAATATTTTACTTCTTTAAATAACTTTTCTTTGTGTTCAGGAACTAAAACATCATTTAAAGCATTACAGATTATCTTTTTATTTAAACACTTTATCCTTAACTGAATTAATGTTATTGAATGTCTGATTTTAAGAGAAAAAAAAAAAAACTTCTGATTAAAATGAACTACAATTTTATCCAAACTGACTCGGCCCATGGCTAGATCAGCTCAGCATATGGTGCATATAGCATAATGCGCAATGCGTAATCTCCCAAATGGGGGAAGTGCTTTTCTGGAGAATTTTCTAATTGAACTTGCCTCATTTATATATTACACGTGAGGAAAAAACACTTGCGCAGGATGCTTCAAATCTCATTCAACATGCAGTGTTCAGCAGACTAACATATAACAGAAAATTATGTAAGAAAACTACTACCAAACTTGATTGCTGATGTTTAATTCCAGTAGTGTGAAATTTGGACTTATTATTTGGAGTAGTCTGTTACTAAATAAATTGTATTTTCCTTATTACTTGAGATAAAGTCATGGATATCAAACATTGTAAGTTGAAATCCCACTTATAATTTCTGCAAAAATATGATCTTGCAGATATTCTCACATTTCTTTTTTGGCTTTACTTGTATGTAATGTAAATACGAGGCATTTTCCTTGAAAAATCATCCATGAAGGCATCCTTTTGCTTAGGTAGTTGATCCTTGTGAGCTTTGCCTTATTCAGACACCCATATCCATATGTTAGATTCAGCTAATTCCATAACCAGGTAATGAAGAATTTTATACATCACTGATCTTTTATTACATCCTGAGAAACATCATTTTACAATATTATTGCTATTAACAATGACACCGTTCCTTCAGCAGTTTATTAGCCCACTAGCAGCTCTGCTGCCAGTCTTCATCTGGCTTTTAAATGTACTGGAAAATGGCTGAACGAAAAACCAAACGTTAAATTTAAATGCTGCGTAGAATTTTACTCTGCAGAACAACTTCATAAAAAAAAGTTATTAAAGTAACAAAATTACAATGAAATAAGCAATATTCCTTAATACAAATATTAATTATCCTAACAAATAAATTGACCAACTTCCCTTTGCAAAATCTTAAGAACTCAAATGGTATAAAGGAGGTTAAGAACTTTGTTTCCTAAAAAAATCATTCAAAACTTTTCATTATCTTAAAAACAGTGAAATGAGCAGTAAATAACATAAAAGAATGCAAAAAACAAAAAATTCGGAAAATCAAAGTATAATTAGTATAATTAATGATATTTTATCTTATAATTTTTAAGAGAAACTATTATAATGAAATAAACTATATCCCTTAATACAAATATTAATTATCCTAATGAAAAAATTAAGGAACTTTCCGTTGAAGAAAAAAAATCATGCAAAACTTTTCAATATCTTACAAACAGTGAAATAAGCAAAAAAATAACATGAAAGAAACTTAAAAAAAAAAAATCCGCGCAGAATTTTACTCTGCAGGGCAACTTTATCAAAAAAATATCAATAAAAATGTATTATATATATTAAAAAAGGACAATGAAATATGCCAAACTCTTAAAAACAGTGACATAAGAAATACAATTAAAAACAGTAACATAAGAAATACGATGAAAATTGTTGCCAAACCCATATTTCTAAAAGAATGAAACTATTCAAAATGATGCGATTTCATCAAAAATCTATCAACAGGACAGGAAAATTATAAGACAGGAAAATTGTTGCCAAAATCACATTTTTAAAGATGTGAGAAGTGTACTCGGAAGCTTCATTTAAAAATACAAAATATTATCATTTTTCCAAAATTCTTTTTGTAAAAGCAGTCACAAGAATCAAAGTTTAACGTGTGCAAAAAATAAACTGTACATTTTTAAAAATAATCTTTTTTAGAAAAAATCCCGTTGAAAAGGTGTTAAGCTCACTCTGTTAAATAGATTCGTATTTAATCGATTTATTGAAACACGAAATTTATTTTAAGTTCGTAAAATAGCTAAGTGCGTACGTTTCATGACGATGTGAAAATGGAGTGTGTAGAGTAAAATCTCGCTTTCCTATAGCTCATTATGTCTCAAAATGACGCGATTTCATCACAAAACATAAAATAAAAAAAATTCTAATTCGAATTTCAAAAAAATCGCTTCGAGGTGCACTGGCTCTTGTCTAGATGTACCTATGTACCAAATTTCATAGCCGTGGGTCTATTAGCTTATGCGCAGCGCGAACGAAAGACACACACAGAGACAGACTCTTTGTTTTATTATATGTAGAGATTATGTTAATTGTGCTTCAAAGCTAAGAGTATCACTACCACAAAAGCACCATATTTGGATAATTTCGTCAATACCACCAAAATTTTTTAGAGTTCTGAAAATACAATGAATGAATTACTTATGTTAGATCAAAATCACCAGAAAAACTCAGTTTGGTCCACTATTCCTAATCATCTCTAAATTCACTGACTGACTGCGAAAAATATGTTCTGATAAACTAATAAATTTTTTTTAACATCTTGGAACCTCACCTGAGGCTGAGGAATTAAATGTTGTTGAATATTGCATGTTTGATCTCAGACGAATGGGCTGTCTGCATGATTTGTTTTCCCCATGCATAATATGAATATGAGCTAATTTCTCTAAAGAAAGTCCTTCACAAAGAGCTGATGTGTTTTGCCTTATTCACTTAACCTGCATTTCAAAAAGCCTTTTAAGATGCATAATGCTTGCTATTTTGCAATGTCTAATGATCAGATGATATATATACTGAGTCATCAATAATCCAATTTAATCTAAAGGGGATGCAGTTAGCAGATAAATTAGAGCAAAGTGGAATGATAATGTATGAATCATATCAGCTATGAAACTTAAAACTCTCCCAGAAACATATAGTTGCACTTACCTGTGTCTGAGTAACTCTTCATTCATGATACTTTCAGTACTTCATTTATCTCATTATTTCCATTTTCACTTCATGTCAATAGTTTATTTCTTAGCAATAAAATGAATATTTAAAAAGAAGTAGTTATCTTTTCATTTAGTAGTGCGATATTTGACCTTCTAATGGAAGTTCTTGTAATAAAACCTTGTTTCACGGAACTTTGATAAAAATAAGTTCATAAACTAACATTGAATTGAAAAGGCAAAAATATGCTCAAATGCACTTTTTTTAATTTAGTTTTTTCCCACCATTTTCTCAATATTCGATGGTTAATGCATGTTTTATATAATGCATTTACCTTTAATAATATGTTTATATAATGCATTTACCTTTAAAAATGATCACTGCAATATTTTAAAGCAAAAATACTGACTTGTGAAATTTCTGTCCTGGAAATGACTTTTAAATACCTTCATTCATTTATAAATTATGTCAGTTAGATTTTTCTTATATGAAATAAATATATATTTTTTCAATTAATAGGCTAATATGATGGATAAATTAATTTCCAAGTTTGTTGAAGAATTAAAACAAAGGCCTTCATGGTGTGAAGATCAAGTAGATAATTTCATCTCAGTGCCTCATGAAGAAGATGACAGTAAGACTAGTTTCTCTTTCCATTTTGAAAATCTTGCCTCGCACATTCATTCTTTTTAATATTGTTACGAAATGTAGAGACGTGGTAAGATGGTTTCCCTGCAAAGCAGTTTTAGGGTTGCCATAAAATGGCAAGATAAGGCAGGGTTGCGACAAAATTGGTGATATGCCATGGACAGATGGAGAACCTTCTGAAACGAATTCTTACCGGTTTAGCACAGAATGTACTCGAACACCAGCCAAAAGCTATATAAACCCTGCTGGTACGTGGTTACGAGTTAGTTAGTATTGAGTGTGTGCCTCGTCTAGTGAGCTGATAGTCAGTCATCGAGCGAGTGTCTCGAAGTCTATTACCGAGTTGGTCATCCAGTGCATCGAGAGTCTTTTAGTGTATCGTGGTTAGTGCAGTGCCGAAAGAGCGTGTTGAGCTCCGGGAACAACTGAACCGAAGAGTCGGGAGCTGCGCTCTGTGTGTCGTCGAGCGCATCACGTGTTGTAGCATGGAGAGTCTCGAGAGTACGTGGAGTTCCGACAACGACCGAGCAGAGTCGGGAGCTGTACCCTGGTGCTTTGCAGTGAAGCTGTCTCCACCATTATAGCCTGAAGGCTGTGTCGCTTATTGTTCCAGCGAGTGGATAGTAGATCTTCGATGACTGTAAAAGTGTTTTGGAGGCTGTCCTGATTACTATTGGTAAATAAAGTGTGTTTCGATACTTCATCAAATGCTGTCATCGTTATTCACTCCAAATCCACATGAACCCGTAATGAACGTACCGAAGGAAGAATATAAAGTGACAACTGGTGTCAGAACAAAAAAACGCAACACTTGGTCTCAGGAGTGGGGTTTATGAGTGAATGCCTGTGTGCAGAGGAAAGACATGGTGGAGGAGATGAAGACTTTGATGGACTTCTTATGATCAGAGCCGGACAGAAGGAGTTGAAGGCCAGATATGCTGAGATAAAAGCCAGAAGTGCTGAGATAAAATCTGAATATAAAAAGATGACAGCTGAGATCAAAGCCACACTGAAAGAGATGAAAGCGGGACTGGAAGATAAGAAAGCCTGGTGGGAAGAAATAAATTTCGGCCAAGAAAAGGTGCAAGAGCAACTCCAACAGCTGAAAGTAGAGATTGCAGAAGAAACTGGAGCCATAAAAGAAGATGTGAAAATGACAGTAGTGGCATCTGGAGAATCCAAGAATGAAGAAATGAAAGAAGTAGCTAACGAACTGCCTGAGAAAGATCCAGAAATGATCGATGAAATATCTAACGGGATTAAAGAAAAAGAACAAAAACATGAAGAAATAAAAGACGGGAAAGAAGTTCCTGATTCTCAAATGCTTGAAGTAGAGAGGGAAGAATGCGAACGAAAATGCAACAGTAAAGTTGGTAGAAACTGATCGTGAAGTTATGAAGTCACAATTAGCGAGTATTGAACCATCTGAAAATGCACATGATGCTGAGATTGAAGAATCTGATGTATAGCTGAAGAAAAATTTACCGACCTCACAAACTATGCATGCGTATCATAGTGCTGATTGTGCAGACAAGGACTTGATTCTAAACCTGAATATTTGTGTTTGTGAAGAATTTGGTTCCGTTCATGATGCAAAATTTGGAGCTGATTCCAAGGAAAATAAGCATGTACAATCTGCTAAAAATAGAGGTGAACTGTATGCATGCTGCGAATGAATTACAGAGTGGTGAACAAACTGTTTCACATCTTCTAGTGGATGAAAAGTCTGAAAGAACTGAATCTTCAGACTGTGATATGCAAAACAGAAATGCATCAGAGAACTGCAGTGGAGAAGTATTTGACCCGCTATAAGTTAATGAAAAGACTGAGACTGAAATTCATTCTTAACTTTAATTTGTATAATTTAAAATTGTTATGTGTTTGTGGATATAACTTGTATATAGTGTAAATATTTGTTTCTTTAGTTATATTACTTGTTTGTTTTATTATGTTTTGTTTGTATGGAATTTAGCTTCTGACCAAGGGTTGTACTGCCCGGGATGTGCAATCCTTGGGATTGAGCAGTGTTACGAAATGTAGAATTGCGGTAAGATGGCTTTCCTGCAAAGCAGTTTTAGGGTTGCCATTAAATGGCAAGATAAGGCAGGGTTGCCACATTTGGCGATAAAATTGGCGATATGCCATGGACGGATGCAAAACCTTCTGGAACGAATTCTTACCGGTTTAGACCAGAATGTTCTCGAACACCAGCCAAAGGCTATATAAACCCTGCGGGTACATTGAGAGATAGTTAGTATTGAGTGTGTGCCTCGTCTAGCGAGCTGATAGTCAGTCATTGAGCGAGTTTCTCGAAGTCTAGTGCCGAGTTAGTTGTCGAGTGCATCATCGAGAGTATTTTAGTGTATCGCGGTTAGTGCATCGTTGAGAGAGCGTGTTGAGCTCCAGGAACGACTGAACCGAAGAGTCGGGAGCTGTGCTCTGTGTCGTCAAGTGCATCGCAAGTGGTAGCGTGGAGAGTCTCGAGAGCACGTAGATTTCTGAGAACGACCGAGCAGAGTCGGGAGCTGTACTCTGGTGCTTTGCATTGAAGCTGTCTCCACCGTTATAGCCTGATAGCCTGAAGGCTGTGTCACTGATTGTTCCAGCAAGTGGATAGTAGATCTTCAACGACTGTAAAAGTGTTTTGGAGGCTGTCCTTATTAATATTGGTAAATAAAATGTGTTTCGATACTTCATCAAGTATGTTTTATGTGATAGATATATAGTCCAAATGCACATTTGTATGATTAGAGTTTGCAGATATCTGACATTAGTTTTCAGGTTTTTCAACAAATATCTACTTACATAGTAATGCTGATCTGCATGCTTTGTTTTAGAACAGTATTTTACATTTTTCGTCAAATTTTTGCTATTTTATTTTCATTCCAAAGCGCAGATAATTTTTAAATTTTATCACCAAATTCTGTGATACAGTTAATCTAAATGGAATACTTATTCTTATAATATAATTAATCCAAGTGAAATACTTGTTTTGAAATTTCTGTTACATGATTTATTTAACTTTCCTCACTATAAATTGCTATGATTTTTTGATTATGTGATCATGTTAAAAATAAAACTGTAGCCACTGAATGGCCTATTGTGGGTCCTTTGAAAATTTGATTGAACAATGAAGATTTTTGTTAGATTTTGCTGTTGGTGCATAAATTAGTTTTATAGTTATAATGGAATGTTTTTTAAGTCTCTTTTAATTCTTGAATTCAGATGTAAAAGAGTACCTTCTAGGACTTAGGTATGATCGCTAAAAGAAGCATTTCCTTTCCATGATAGTTGTTATTTTAAATCAGATTAAATGTCTGTATAAAATATTTGAGATAAATATTCATTATTAGTCCTAAGGGGCAATTTGCGTAGAAGGACTATTAATTTCATTTTGGCATTTTGCGTTCATTCACTTTTCAAATTGTTCCTACCAAATGTTATTGCAGTGTATTATATTTAAAGAAATTAAAAAATGAAGTGTCTGCATAAATATATGTATGTTTCTCGCATTGTTATGAAACAGTGGTACCTTGTGCCATCAAATTTTGAATAACATAACCCTCCTGCAAATATGGGCATCTGGAAGCCCAAATTTTGAATTTGTTTTATTATCGATTTCATATTTTGTAAAACTTGAACGAATTTTTGATTAACAAACTGAGGGATTTGAGTAAAGTGAGCAATGGCAACATTGTACAGGAAAAAAAAAACATTTTTATCTCTGGTGCGTGAAACTGTGTGTTGAAAATTCTAAAGATATGCTCATTTTAAAATTATTTTTCATTTTATTATAACATAAAATGGTTATTAAATGTAATTTGGTTTAAGATTAAATTGCAATATATAAGCATTTTCATAATTTTACAGTCCTGCCAATAACTACAAGACGTTTATCATCTGAAGCATATATTGAAGACAGGTTGAAAAGATTATCACTGACTACTTTCAATGAATCAGGTATCAAGATTATATTTTTATTTCACTTTTATTTTAAGTATTTCAAAAATTATTAGTTTCAAACTTGTACTAAGAAAAATGTAGTTATATTTACTGTATTTTCTGTAGTAATTGAAATACAAAAATTTAAGTGCATTTTCAACTGGTATTTAATAAAAATAGCTGAAATTATTTTATTTAGCCATTTTGCAATAATGGACATCAAAATCAATTTGAAATCGGTTACTAGGTATTGACTGAAGGGGTTGAATTAAATTTTATGGGTAATTTTGTATAATGTGTGCATTAATTTAAAATATTGCTTTCTGAGAATCCGTTAAGCAACTATCCCTAGAATAAATACACATTGCACGTACTGTCAGTCAGAATTTGGATTATGAAACTAACATTGCCTTTTACCAGGTATTTATGTCATGTTATAAAACTAATGAGCTGCTTCAGTTGGAGAAGCTAAATTATTTTCAGCTCACTTGTCCTGCGGAACTTTATATGTGTTCAATAAAGTTGTAGTGAAGCTAGTTCATGGACAAAATTGACTTTGTAGTTACCTTTATCATGTAGGACCAAGAAAATGCCCATATAGCTTGCTTGTTCTGGGTATTCTTAAAGTAGCAATGTTAGCGATTTTAATTGCATGGCAACTGACGGACTAATCATTCATATCAGTTGCTTTGCTGACATCTTATAAGTCATATTGTCTTTTGAGTTCCATGCAGCCTATAGTTTTATTTTTTGCGACTCATGCCAAAATTAAGTTTTCTTGTTTAGTTCCTGATGGTTAAGTAATACAAGGGCTCTCTATCTTAGAAATAAAAGGAGCCTTCAGGGAAGATACCTTTTTATAGGAAGGATAAATAAGTAATACAAAATAAAAAGGGAAAATCTGTGTCATAAGACAGTCCTGATGAGCAGAAGCTATGATGACAAAGCATAATAGTAGCACAGTCCTGGTTGCAAGAGCTAGATGTTGAGTTGAGTACTCAGCTGTTTTTTAATACAGTCAAAAGACTTTAATCCGGACTCGTCGGGACTTCGGCGATTCCGGATTATCGATTTTTCCGGATTATAGATCATCAGTTTAAATCTGGTAAGATGGCATGCAGAAATTATAAAATTAAAAATACAAAACCGTAATTTATGAAATAAAGAGCAATTATGATCTAAAGGGTATCAAAATTTACAAAAAAAAGCTTAATATTTATTTGTTTACTTTATTAAACATTTCTTTCAACATGCACATGCGTAAATTATACATTATGCATAGTCAAAATTAGAAAATTGCAACCAGAAAACTACTCAATGTGTATTCATGATATTTATAATGATGAGGAATTTGATTTAAATCATATCAAAGACTGAGTACATCAAGATGAAATACTACATTTAGTAAGGAATTATAAGCCGAATAAAATAAAAACATCTGCCCTGAAGATAACGATAGAGCTGACAGATCAACTTCCAGTTCATTGCCCGCCGCGACGTCCCCTCCCCCCCCGCGCGCAGAGCAGCGTGAAATTTATAAACAGATTTCGGAACGGTTAGATAAACAAAGGATATGCCTTTATCCATTTTTTGGGAGCAATTCCACTTTTTGTTTGATGGACATCGAAACATACTTTGTTTTGTAGATCCTTTGGGAGCTCCAGCATCGGAAATTCTATTTGACGTGATCGAAAGTTCAAGCTTACTTTTATAAAATTGCTCTTACAGTCTGCAAAAAATAATAAGCCGGATCCAGTTCGAAGATTAAGGAACAACACAATCATCAACATTAAGTGAAATAGATAATTAGATAATTTTAGCTTATACCGTCCATTATGATGCTAAAGCAAAGTTTAAAGTTTTAAAAAATTAAACATTTAGCAATAGTAGCAATAAAAGCTCCCTGAGATAATATGTTGTGCAGACATTGAAGACAATAAAAAGGTTTCAAATTTAACCAATTTATTAACAATATAATAAAGAATAAAAACACAGAAAATAAATTTAAACAATATCAGAGTCAGGAAAAATATAATATAACCATCATTCATCAAATAATATTTTTACCTGGTCTCCAAAAACACTGGCATTCAAATACAAACAAAAATGTCCTAAATAGTAATTATGCTGCCTCAAAATGAAGTTGGCTACACATTCAATAACGTCCCATGATCAATGGTTGAGAAAACACCTGAAATTTTAAATGAAGTTCTTGAAAGCACTTCAAAACCGGCCTTAACTCCGTTTGCATTAGTTGAACACGAGGAATCGCCGCTCACGTATTTTAAATGCCGCCTTCATTGAAGAACATAGATGCCGCCTCACGGCAGTCACTCACATGGTAGAAATCTCTGGAACCAAGGAACTTTATTCTGGAACAATCATCTTGTGGATATGAACCAAGGAACTTATTCCGGAACAAGCATCTTGTGAACAGGAACCAAGGAACTTTATTCCACCGGACTGCACGCATCGCAATACGTCTTTGAAGGGGCTGGAAACCGCACACCCAAGAATTGCCAGGAAAGCAGGAACTAGAAGGGTTGAGCCAGAGCGACGCGAGATACTTATAGCAGAAGTAGGCATGACGTCATCTCACGGCAACCAATCAGCTATCGGCACGAATCGGCTTTCCAGATGACGTAACATCACGTTTCGTTTTTGCTTCTCAATTAGGTTGAAACAGTCTGTTCTCAAAGCAAACAGTGGCAGTAAGAAAAAGAAGTAGAAGTAACTAATATATTTCATTAAAAATAACTAAACCTAATAAACATTTCAAGGAGGAGAGATGATGCAGTAAAAGGTTTACAATAAGTTATATTTTCCAACACGTTATACATTAAACGTGCACGCAAAAACATATTCTGCGCTTGTGCACACGAATATGCGCAGTCGTAAAGGTATTACGTGCACGCGTAAAGGCCTATGCGCATGCGTCAACGTGGCGCATGCGCAGAAAATTTTTACCTTTGAGGTCCGGATTATAGATCATTCCGGATTATGGATGTCCGAATTAACGACTTTTGACTGTACTCTGCTTTCACTCCTGCTAGAGTCCTCAAACATTCACACAGGAAATTTTCTTTGGGACAAGCATTTTTATCTCCTGTGAAATCTGTAGTGTGCAATATTACTGCAGACTGCTCAGTGAAACAGCATGGTCAGCATCTAAGGAAATGTCATCTTGATATATCTTGTGTGGTGTCACCTTCAGCTCAACAGTAAATAGAAACATAAATCTCCTACAATGACTTTCTCAGGGAAACTGGCTCTTATTCATATAAAACATGAACATGCTACTTCCTTAAGTAGCAGTTTTGGTGATTTTAATGTACCATGCAATGCCACCATTTTAGTAACCTTGTAATGCTTGTTAGGCTTCAAACCCAAGTAAAATGCTAGTGTTCAATGGTCATTCCTAATCAGCCAATTCGAAAATATTTTGACTCAAAAAATATACTGTGGATTTGCATTATATTTACAGATAAGGATTTTGCAAAGACGAAGTCTGTGTTGTACAGCTTTCCAAACATCTTATATGTGTAATGTTACATTTGGTCTCGGTGATTATCTGCAAAATTATTTACCAAAAATTGTGTTAAGTAAATATTTAATATATTGAAATTCTTTGTATTTACTGTTTTAGGGTACATTTCTTAATACTGGCTGAACATCATATTGTCATCCACAGCATCAAAACACATTTGAAGTTGGCAGTGATTTTTAGTTATGAATTGTTATCATGAATGGATCTCAGTCAATGTAGCTTTTAAGAGGATGGACTCTTGTAATCCATCCTGGCAAGAAAAAAAAACCATATTGTCATGTAAAATGTTGTTTTGGATTCCTGACATTGTATAAAGTGGTGAGCTGTTAGTTTTAATATCAAAATTTATTTTTGCAATCTGCCACAAAGGTTTTGCTTTCCGAATCGAAATTTTTCTGTTTTCTTGCCAATAACCATTTTGGTACTATTGCCGGCTGTGCTTAATAATATTCATAGATTCTAAAAGCTTCGCTTGCAAGCAGTTTGAACTCGTATTAGTTCTAATACATTTCTAAGGTTGTTGGTAAAGTCTGTAATTTGAGAATTAGTTGAAATGCCATGTTTTTCTGCATTCATGTGTCTTTTAATAACTACTGTTAGTTTCATTAGTGTAAGATACACTGAAGTGACAAAAGTCATGGGATACCTCCTAATATTTTGTCGGTCCTCCTTTTGCCCGGCGAAGTGCAGCAACTCGACGTGGCATGGACTCAACAAGTCGTTGGAAGTCCCCTGCTGAAATATTGAGAGCTGCTGAAATATAGAGCCATGCTGCCTCTATAGACGTCCATAATTGTGAAAGTGTTGACGGTGCAGGGTTTTGGGCATGAACTGACCTCTTGATGATGTCCCATAAATGTTCGATGGGATTCATGTCGGGTGATCTAGGTGGCCAGATCATTCGCTGGAATTGTCCAGAATGTTCTTCTAACCAATTGCGAACAATTGTGGCCCGGTGACATGGCGCATTGTCATCCATAAAAATCCCATCGTTGTTTGAGTACGTGAAGTCCATGAATGGCTGTAAGTGATCTCCAAGTAGCTGAAGGTATCCATTTCCAGTCAATGATGGGTTCAGTTGCACCAGAGGACCGAGTCCATGCCATGTAAAAACAGCCCAGACCATTATGGAACCCACACCAGGTTGAACAGTGCCTTGTTGATACTTGGGTCCATGGCTTCGTGGGGTCTGCGCCACACTCGAACCCTAAAATCAGCTCTTACCAACTGAAATCGTGACTCATCTGACCAAGCCACTGTTTTCCATTCGTTCAGGGACCAAACGATATGCTCACGAGCCCACGAGAGTCGCTGCAGGCGATGTCGTGCTGTCTGCAAAGGCACTCGAGTCGGTCTTCTGCTGACATAGCCCAAGGAAGACAAATTTCGCCGCACTCTCCTATCGGACACGTCCCTCGTACGTCCCACATTGATTTCTGCGGTTACTTGATGCAGTGTTGCTTGTCTGTGAACATTGACAACTCTACGCAGACGTCGCTGGTCCTTGTCGTTAAGTGCAGGTGGTCGGCCACTGCGCTGTCCATGGTGGGATGTTATGCCTGAAATTAGATACTCTCGGCACACTCTTGACACTGTGGATCTCGGAATGTTGAATTCCCTAACGATATCCGAAATGGAATGACCCATGCGTCTAGCTCCAACTACCATTCCGCGTTCAAAGTCTGTTAATTCTCGTCGTGCGGCCATAATCACGTCAAAGTCTCTTCACATGAATAACTTGAACACAAATGAAAGCCCTGCCAAAGTACTTCACATTTATACATTTTCTACGCGATACTACTGCCATCTGTATATTTGCATATTGCTATTCCATGACTTTTGTCACTTCAGTGTATAATGTATTTTACATTATCATAATTCATAGAACATACATCATATAGGGAATAGAAATTGCATCATCTGTGAATGTAATCTGATTTTCTAGCCAACAATACCTGAGATTTTATTTAGTAATATTTGTGCTTGAAGGAAATTTATGAAAAGCTGTTTTACAGATGCTTGTAAGATTTTATGCAGAATTTAGTTACACATAAAAAAACGTGGAACATTTTAACTCTCGAACAATTTACTAAAACCTTAAAATCTTTCACCTTTAGCATCGTGTTTCATCAAATAACCAGTCTACTGTTAATGTTTAAACAAAGCCTTTTTCTGCATTCTTCATAAAATATCATGTCCCAGAACTGTTAAAATCATTCATTGGTTTGAGAAAGAAAACCTGATACAGAAGTCAGTTAAGCTGAGATTTTGTGCATTGAAGTCTTTCAAGAGATGGTTTATCCAGCAGTAGTATTCTTTTAATAGATGAGTTTGGCTGTAAATAAATTAAAATAATGAACACTCTACTCATGTTTGTTTTTAAGGTTGAACTGATAACTAACTTTGAAACTTAAAGAAAATCCTAAACACTAGCTCTCAATATTTTTTATGTAAATTTCATGGAAGGAATCATTGCTATAAAAAATATGTTTCATTGTTAATGATCTCCTCTCAAATCACACTGCCAATGACTTGTTTGGCATTGATAAGAGTTCTAGCATCACCTCTCAGTAGATTCTTTTATATGTTGGCATTCTAAACATGAAGATTGAAATGACAATCATCATGTTTAATTAAAATTAAGTCATTTTCATTATACAAAATGTCAACATTGTCGTACAAGCCACCACATTTTCTGAAATTGAATAACTTCCCATACTGAAAGAAAAATTAATTGTAATATTATCCTGTCTTAGTTCTAGGCAAATTAGTAGTTGGAATTTTTAGTTTTAAACTTACCAAGAAACACATTTATTATATTGAAAAAACTGGATATTTGTGTAAATGTTATCCAGTTTTCCCAGTTTAAACACACTGTTTCCATACTTCATCCTGAAGTAAACTGGTATTAATGTCCAAGTCATCTTTTGTAATCCTCTTACAACTGCTCAAAAAACTCCTCTTCATAGCATCCAAATTATTGTGTAGAATACCATGCAGCTCCTTCCCGGTAGGATAACATTCCCTCACATTAAAGTTCTTGTTGTTTTGTTTGTTGTTGCCATTCACCACTACAATTCTGTAAGCCCTTTGACACTAAAATTCTAAACAGTGGAAAAAGTGAGGCCAAAATCCATCTGGTTATTAGAAAAAATTTCATAATTAGGAAGGCACTTTAAGCCAAATACATAATGTAATTAATGCATAGTTTTACTGTGATAAACTTTGACTTCAAACAGATAGCATTTTTTCTGCTGAAATTGAATGATTAAATTATTTTGTATTTAACTGTGTTAAGGGTAATTTATTTATGATTTATATGTGGGGAAGAGAGATCATATATTTAAGCTTAGCGCACTTGTGCAAGATTTTATATTAATTTATCTAAAAATATTTTATCTGATTTTATATAGTTCAGTGTAGCACAGTGGATTGAGCAGGGGGGGTTGTCACAATTTTCATACTGTTCCTGAATGGTACCTCTGAAATCGTTGCTGTAATATGAACAATGAAAATGCTGCATCAGTTTATAAAAAAAAAATTCATGCTTTCAATAGTGTAGAAGCAATTATATATCTAAGCTTCGAACTTACTATTTCTTTATAAGGATATTTTGTGCTATCTAAAACAGATGCTGATTTTCGTACAAATGTGAAAAACTGCTACTTATATAGTTTTCTTCACATATTCATTAGTTGTAGCAATTATTTCCTCAGTAGTCATGTTTGCATTATCACTTAATGTGGGATAATTTTCAAGTGATGCTTTTCTTTAACTAAATGGGCAACCCATCTTTTGGTAGTACCATAGGAAGCTGTACAATTACCACACATTGTAACCATGCATTAATGAATATTTGTTAGTGTTATACTTATCTTTTATCTAGAAGAAAAAATCCAAAGATTTTACATATTTTTAATATTAACAAACACTGACTGAACATTTTTTCTCCTCTTTATAATTACAGAGGGTGAGGCGATCATTTTATATTTCACTATCCTAAAAAAAGCATTACATCAAATCTAAGCATAGAACTTACTGAATGCTCCTTTCAGTAAGAAAATTTCCTTACATGGGAATGAAATTGACAGAATACCATCATTCTTCAGTTTTGTGTAGGAAATGAGCACTTATTAGATTTAAGTAGTAACTCAGAGAGTAAACAAAAAACAATAGGCTTATACTAAATTTCTTTTCCTTTAATGTTTTTAATTAATTTAGGTGCTTTTGGCTCACCAGCGGCCGAGCGGTAACGTTGCTGAACACTGGTAGTTCGGTCCGAGGTTCGAATTCCGCGAATGGGCTGGCTGCATGGGCATTTCGTGGTTTTCCCCATGTGTAACATGTATACAAGCCAGTTTCCTTTAGAAAGTCCTCCACGAAGGCATTCCTCCCTTAAGGCAGATAGCCCTCGAGTGCTTTTCTGTAATCTAATAAAACCAAATAAATTACGTGCTTTCCATTTCATAACATATGCAGTTTATTTTATCTTTATATGATATTTAAATTAAAGGAACGAGGTTAAAAATGAATTAATAAATTAAAAACAAGTTTAATTGTATTTGACCTAGAAATAAGAACGAGATATCTAAATCATTAGTTGGTTGGTATAATGTAATGAAAGGAAAGCACATAAAGGCTTTACCAAACAGCAGATACCCTTATTGACATCTTTTAAGGAAAGTGTTTTGCATTTGTGATATGTATGGAGGAAACCTCATGCAACCAGCGCATTCTGTTTCCAAGAATAGACCTTGGAACAAACTTTTAGTGTCTCATAACAGCCCTGTGTATCAGTAATTCTGATAATAGTAGCTCTGCTGTATTTGCCATCTGAATTGTAGCTTGGTCAACCATACCATTCTCCAGTTTGTGTTTTTTTTTTTTATTCTGTGCATTCACTCTCTGCATTTCAGTAGCACTACATTCCTGAAGCTCTTCATGAGTCTCTACACTGTAGCAATGAGATATCTGTGAATGACTTACTGTTTCATTGAAATCATCGTTAATTCACAGCTTATGTCTTGTTCCTTGAAATTATCAATGGTTTCAATGCCTATATCAATTTTTGGAATGCTTCTTTTTAACCCTCTGAGTGGCACAGCTTTTTGTATCTGCTCAGGAAGACTTGTATTTTAACAGTTTCTGTCAACTGAATGTTTATAATTATTTATTTTAGTCTGTTTTCTAAAATTTTCATTCATTAAGGTGATGTTTACATTATTGAAGAACGGATAGAAAAGGGCATCATGACACTCAAGTATTTCATTATTATGTATATCAGCAGATCATTATTTAATAACATTATACATTCTTAGAAACATTCTGAAGTTTATGTACTGGAATAAAATCGTGACTCTTGTCATGGTGTGCTGAGATGTTCTGATATAATTTTTATACTAATCACTGTTTATTTTTCCTTAATAGGTAAACCTGTGCACTCACCAAAATCCTGGTCATTTCAAATATAAATGCTTGGAATTAATTTCTTGTGAATCCTATGAAGCATGGATTGAAACATTAACATGCTAATTGTATTTTTTAGCTTGTGGTGTGGATTATTTAACACTGTTTACCTTTAACATGATGCATATTGAAATTTTTTTTTCAATATGCATCATGTTTTCAATATGCATCTGTTTTGGTTTACAGTCTCAATCCGCTGAACACAGAAAGCACTTTTATAATGATATTGCACTTGTGAAAAATTTACAGCATGCTACAATGTTGTTATAGCAGCACTTGACCCTGCATTAGGTGTTTCTGTTGCATAATTAGGCACTTCAGTGATAGGTGTCGCCCACCTATTAAAATGTATCTAGAATAAGGAATATCATTTTTGAATGATGATTGTTTCATTTATTTGACAAAATGTTAATTGCACATTAGACTTTTGATTTGTATTGTTTGAGTATCGGTCTTCAGTAAATATAACATATTTTTTTCATTCAGCATTTGTATCTTCTGTTGTCTCTATCTTTCAGCATTTTAACAGTTTACTTGCTACATATATAAGTGTGCAGCTGACACCTATCACACCTGTGCTTAAGCTAGGGTTACAGAATTCCAGTGTTGTGTATGTTTCAAATAATTTTCATTAAAAGGTGCATTATAAAGCCTGTTATTAACATACTTCCATGCTGATGTTTCATTGCTTGTGAATTTATAATAATTTAACCCCTTGCAGTTGAGAAGTAACTCTCAGTCCCCACTCGATTTGATTGAATTTTTTATTTCCTAAAATAAAACTCAAGTGTTCTTAAAATTACTTTTGTATTTTCATACAAAATATGTATCTTGTGTATTGACTTCTCATTGATATCATTAATCTTTTAACAGGAACTTCCATTATGAATTAATAAAAATTTCAGTAAATTTTTGTAAATTGATATTGTGTAATAATAATTCAAAACCATGTGAATTTCTAATTCATTCTGATGAAAACTGTATTAAATTTTTATATACATTTAATTTTTAGCGCAAAATGATGGATCTTCTAGTTATGATGGCAGTTATTAAATTGTAATTTTTTTCATGGCTGCGGAAAGTATCCATTGTTGCATATTTAAAATCTATATTTCAGTGTCAGATGTGTGAACATGTGGCATTTCATACCAAAAAATTTTACAGAACATAATCAGATTATAACTGAATATAATATGGTCATGTTGATTTCTGGAGAACAGCAATAACTGTCAATGCATGAAAATGAAAAATAGGATTTTGAGAACCCTGTATTATGATACAGCATTCTAAAGCTATGAGACATTTAATCAAATTTTTTAGAAAGATTTGTGGAAGTTCATCAAAAAGAAATAACTGCTTTTCTTAAAAAAGCAGCACATATATATTTAGAATGAGTATTCTTCAAATTTGTGATTTTATATAACTTTTCAGTCCTTTCACATTTACATTCATTCTCTCTTGTGTACTGCCATTTGAATCTGCTGTTTAGCTTTTAATTGTAAAGCTGTAATGCATCAATTCCTCCTACTACTTTCAGTTTAATAGTAAACTGAATACTAAATTTGCTTACTATTTGTCTCAGATGTAATACTAAGGTGACCAGATTTCAAAGTTCAGGATGATACAGCATTTTCTGTTATTGAGGTAGAGGTAGTATATAGGTCAATATGTATATAAACTAAAATAAATATTTTTTAACATGTAAAGGATAAATCAAAATGCAGTATTCATTGTTCAACAAAGTAATAAATTTGTAAATTTAAAGCTGTGTCTTATTACTAGTCCAGAAAATGTTCAGAGCGTGAAATACTTGCTCAGTTGCAGGAACTCTGGGCATTTTAAAACATTTGAACAAAGAATCTGGTTCTTATTAAAATATGCAGTTATTTATGCTTACCTCTGAACTGGGCACATCTTATTTTTCAACCATTCCAGTATTTTTTCTACCATAATATATTGTATAAGATAAACAAATTCCTCATATATATCATTTTCCAATAATTTATGATTTGGTATTATTTTATTAATTAACAAAGAGGCTGTTTCCACTTGACCCCAAGAAAAGATTTCATTTAATATGATGCCTGGGACACTTTTCTTGAGATTGGAAATAAGTCTTCAGTGGTAAAAACATTTGGAATACACTTTTAATGGTGGGAAGTAATTCTAACGATCTTGTTTGTGAATACCATAGTATCATTGAAAAATTGGTTTCTACGAAGTTGCAGAAATTTTTCAATGCTTCTACTCTGAAGATTTAAAGTATATCTTAGAAATAATTGTCTCTACATAAACTGGCAAAATATCAGCTGATATTCTTGTAGTAGATGGATAATATATATTGGACATCCAACTCTTGTTAAACCATGGTTAAAGTTTTATTTCAGTTTAACCAAAACATTATTTTTTCCACGTCTGTTGGTTCCTCCAAAGTTAGAATTCCTATTATTGGAACAAAGATCAATAAGTTTTTTCATTATTTTCTTCATGACAGGTAGTTAAATAGTTGCTGGCAATATCAGATTTTTCACCAAGTAAGGCTTGAAATTCTAAAATTTTTACTCTAACTCTATAATCCAATTCAGTATAAATTTAAGAAGCATTGAAAAACGTTTTTTTTCCCCCCTAGTGATTGGATGCATCAGTGAAGATTAAAACAAATGAACATTTTTCCAAATCATTATGCAAAGCTCTTAAAGCATAAGTCATGAAAACATTTAGTATTATTGCTTCAGCCTTGGTTTGCGCAAATTTAAATTTAGGTTCAAATGCCTTTTGAAGCAGCTTGGACAAACAATCCATAGACTTAAAACTATGGTTGTGGCAAATAATATGGTATGCGAAAGTACCTTCTACTGCAGTGAATTCATCTTCCTGTATCACCCATTTTTTCCTGTTTGAGGAAATTCCTTAATGATGAGATTAGATGCAGCTGCAGAGTTTTACCTTTCATTTTTGTTACAATTTATATGAAGTTTAATATCTGTATGTCTACCATGGCATATTGTAAATTTTGAAGACCATGTTCACAGCACAGTATTGCACCACACATTAGAATCGCTTATAGCTTTATCAATGCAGAGTTATTCCTTCTGTAGGTCTTTGTTAAATTTTTTTTTGTTGTGGAACCCATTACTAAAAAAAATCAATGGTAAAAATAATACATTCAATTAAACTGCAGTAAAACATATGTTCAGCAATATGTAATGTACCATTGATAAATAAAAAATATATGTCATTGCCAATAGAGAAACGTTATTGCCCAGCATTGTTTCGGCAGATTTTAAAAAAATATTTCAACCCTTATGCAAATTCAAAATGATGATGGAATAAAAGTTTTAAACCTGACAAAGAAAGCTGATTTTATATGCTTATATCTAGAATGAAATTTCAGCAAATGATAAAAGAATTATTTTTAGATGCCATTCAATAGTATGTAAGGGTGTGTAATGCATACATACTAAGGTATATAATGCACCGTTGATAATTAAAAACTATATGTGTATATTATACATTGAAATCACAATCGAATAAATATATCAATTAAAAATTGCAGTGCTGTCTTTTAAGTGAATATCTGAACTGTAACTGTGAAAAAAATTCTGAGGATGTTGGTCAGTTGAGGAGAGAAATAGTGGAATCAGAAATATATCTCCTGTACAACAATTTTTCTAAGGTAAACATGAATCCCTTGTTTATCCGGCTGATTTGGTGTGTATCTCTTAACTTATGCTTGCAGTCTCAATTTGCAATTTACACTACTTAAATAATATATGCATTGAAACTTTTATGTTCTCACACTGTTTTTTGGGACCAAAAAATCGGTACAGGGACTGAAAATTCAGGGCGTCTGATCACCTTAGATATACACTTTGACAATCATTATGGCATCAGACATCCTAAAGGTAAAGGATGTAGTAAATGGTTATGATCATCAAAATGAATTTGATGTATTCTTATTGGATGGGACTTTCTGCACTGGTCATCATAATGGAATAATGACTGCTCACTATAATATGTTGATTGTTCTTATAAAATATTAAACCTTCAGTCTAGAGAGGGAAATAAGCCACAAAAATTCAAAAATTAGTTTAAACTTATATAAATATATTCTTGCTTTAATTGGTCATGCATCAGAGAGATGGAAATCGATTTTTAAAGAGTTTGATTTAGTTTTTCAATTGTCCAAAAACAGCTAGAGTACAGAATTCAAGGATCTCGGAACTCCCATCCTCTGGGCAGGAGATTCAGTCAATAGATGTCAAGTTTCTTCATTTAACAATGACATTAGAGTCATAAACACTCCTGTATTATTCATCCATCTGGCACTACACTGTTGTGTCCAGGGTGGCATGTATTCAAAGGAAAAGAGCGAAATGTTTGTTTTTCTGGATAACTTATTGTTGGATTTATTCTCTTTTTCAAACTGACATTTCAAATAGCTACTAAATAATAGAAGAGCATTTCAAATAACCTTAGATCTTGCATGGCTTGCATTTATTCCACATGTGTGAATTTTCTGTGTTAATTTAGATATAGAAATCCAATCTGAAATATGACAGTATTTTTGTGGTCCACATAATTGTTGAAAGGTTTTAAGATACGTACATCTATATATTACATTATATATCAGTAATATGTCATTTTCATAGACTTTCATGCTAATTTATTTATTTAAATGTACTTTTTATGTATGCATGTGTCTGAAAACATGCTTTGTGCATTTGTGTTTTTATGTAGATAAGTGTAATATATAATTTATATATGAATTAGTTGTGTCAGTTTTTATTGTTTATAATTTGAGTTTTAATAGAGTCTGAAATTCAGATGTCCACTAACTGGAGTGAAGTATTAACCTGACCTCCTATACAACTTTTTTAAAAGAAACTCTCTCACAGATTGTAGGAACAAAAAACATGATATCTTTAAATAGTACCATAAGCCGAGATATTTCTTTTGCCAAAAAGCATCATCATTTGCAGTAATATTGGATAATTCTGCAAGTTGTTTCACCTGCTGGCTTCTGAACCACATTTTAATTTTCAGGACTCTCAAGTGGTTGTGTTGGGTGGTGGATTTAACATTTTTCTATGTTATTAAGTCCTTTCATTGGAGGGCACAGCAGAGATTTTTATTTCCAATGGCGGGCACTAGCCGTTATAGGTGTTGGCTGCTATTAAGGTTGGAAGATGAGAAAGCAGAACTCTTAGCCCAGCATCTGGAATCTCAATTTTGCATAAACAACATCCATGATTCTGAAACAGAAAGCATTGTTCAACAGTATCATTCCACCTTTTCTACAAGCCCATTCGCAAACAACATGACTCCAACCTTACCTTCAGAAGTCCTTGCAATTATCAAAAAACTCAAAAAAAAAACAAACAAAAAAAAAGTCGTGGACTTGATACTATTAAAAAATGAGATGATTAAGAAACTCCCACTCAAGTCTATTTTCATTTTTACCAAATTATGCAACCTTATTCTTGACTGGCAACACTTTCCACAAGACCAGAAAACAGCAAAGATAGTTCCAATACTGAAACCTGGAAAACCAGCTGCAAAACCTGACTCCTACAGACCAATAAGTCTCCTTTTTACACTTAGCAAAGTTTTCAAAGCCATCTTACTTAAGAATAAACACTCATCTGGAAGACAGAAACATCATTATCCCTCATCATTTTGGATTTAGAAGAAACTTATCTACTACGAACCAAATGTACAGAGTAATAGAAACCATTTCGAAGGGAATGGCTGCCAAGATTACAGGAGGCCTCTTTATTGATATTGCCAAGGCTTTTGACAGAGTCTGGTTGGATGCACTCATATACAAATTACATGTTCTGGGATTCCTAGAATATATCATAAACATTACTAATTCCTACCTCACAGGTAGACACTTTGTCGTTCATGTCTCAGGTACAAACTCTACTTCACACCCTATCCTTGAAGGGGTCCTTGCTAGGACCTACACATTTTGATATTTATGTGAACAACATTCCCACCACACATGACACAACACATGCTGTGTATGCAGATGATACAGAGATCCTGGCACAAAGTGCATTTGTTGGTTGTTATCCAACGACTACAAAACTACATACGTTCGCTAGAGATTTGGCTTGCCAAGTGGAAAATTGCTGTGAATGTAAACAAAACCAAAGCTGTTCTTTTCACAAGAAAAACCAAAATAAGAAGTAACCTGCTATTTTATAATCAATGCATTCCATGGGCCAAGCAAGTCCTTTATCTTGGGGTGATCCTCAATAATACTCTTACATGGTCCCCACACATCACTTCTATTATCCAGAAGTTCTGAATTCATAAAGCACAACTCTACCCCTTAATTGCTCGGAACAGTGTTTTATCTATAGACAAGTTACTTATTTAAAAGTCCATTCTCAGACCATTACTTTGTTAAGCAAACCCAGTATGGGCACACTCAAGAAAATCTAATAGACGAAGGCTCCAAGCATGCCAAAATATAGTATTAAGGCAAATAACCAGTGCCGCATGGTATATCAGAAATAATAGTATACACCAGGAGTTAGGTGTGGAGCAACTCAGATCTCATTATTATAAATTAGCTAAGAATTTTCATGCAAAACAAATCACAATAGATAATCCTAGTATAAAAATTTATAACTATGACTATAATAACCTGGACAATATGGATAGGCCATTGGCCTAACTGAACACAATGATTATGTAACCTTAGTATCACCTGATTATATGTACCATCATTTTGTATGTTCTCTCTATACCCTCTGCACAGTGTCTGTATATATGTTACTTAATTTTGTAGCTATAGTATGTATTCCTTATGTTTTTATTATTTTGTATATATAAGAGGATTCAGATTGTGAAATTACTTGTAAGTATACTTACCATGTGTATGTCATGCGTCACCAGTTCACCTGCTTCTGTGCCAATCCTTCATGCAGCTTATTTTCCCAATACTACCTACTGAAAATTAAGTACTATAGTTACTTAAGTTGGTACAGTCATATTATTAAGCTTATTAGTTCACAATATTAAAAGCTAAAATATATTACTTTAAAAAAAAATAAATAAATAAAAGTTATGATGACTTAACATAAAATTAACAATACTAGGAGTTAATTAAATGCTTAATTGCTAAGTTATCTTCATTAAACTTCGAAGCTACAAAAATATTCTACAGGGGGTAGAGCATAGGCTCAGGCACTCTGGTGTAGCAAGCACCATTCCACAGAGGAGCGATTAAGGTTGGAAGCGGCAGTCCCTTTATTAATGAAGCCTCCACCAGGATTCAAACTCGGGTCCTTCAGTACGGCAGTGTCACTAAACACTTTCCTGTCTGGGCTGCTGGCATAGTAGAAAAGGGAGAAAGAATTAGATCTCGATTAGCTTAAGTTCAGCTACCACTGTGAACTGTACTCTTTCTTAACTTTCTGATTTCATCCAGCTTATTTCCTTCTTCAGTCTATAATTTCTATTTTCTTTATCAAAATTAAACATAACATCTTGGTTTTACCCACTCAAAAACTGTACATCAATCAATCAGCTAAAAGATATCTGCAGAAAATATCACCATTTCAGGTTCTATTCACATTTTAATTTCATGAGGCTGTTGTTCAAACATTAATGTTTGTGCAGCATAATTCTTTCTTAAAGAAAAAGGACAGCCACTTGTTCATTTCTTGGCAAATCCCATATCAACATAAAAAATTATAAAAATCCATTTTAGTTTAAAATGAAAAAATGAAAAAAATGAAAAACTTGATTGTTAGGAAAGAAATCAAGCAGATGAAGATGATATAACTAAAGTCTTTATTGCAATGGCAATGTTACTATCAGAAATCATTAATAGATGGTAAAATCCATGGTATAGTTTTATATCAGGAAAATATCATGACCTATTGTGAAGAACATGATTGAGGTTGTTGAGAATGGATAAATTTTGATTAATGATTTAATGAAACAAAAATAAATGTTAAACGTCATCTTAATAATTCCGGTTCTCTTAAAGTATTAAACGCTTCATTATTTTACAAACAAACCATTTCATGTTTTTAATTTTTTAATTTCCATGTTCGTACTAGATTTAAACTGAAGATCTATAATTGCCAAAGTCCCAATGATTCTGGATCTCAGATTTCGTACCATATACATATTTTGTTAAATGTGTAATTTTTACCAGTTCATTCACATACAAAATTGAAAAAAAAAAAAAAATACTTTAAAATTATTTTGTGTCTTGCACATGAGTAATATAAAAAAGGACTTTTAAACAAATTATTTACATTTAATATTCATATATTTGAAACAGAAAATTACTTTTTTTTTTCAGTTTTACAGAACTAAGTAAAAATGATAATTTTAAGCTCATTTTTCTTAGCTTTAAGAAAGTTATAAAAATTAAATTTTATTTATTTAAACATATGCACTGAAATATAAATTTCTATTATTATAGCTCTTCTCTTTAAATTTTCAATAACTTCGATTTAATACATGGACATGATAAAACGCTTATTTTACAAAAATTTTATCTGATACAAGATTTTTAGTCATTGAGAAACTTCAAGGACGTCAACATTGATCAGGTAATATAATAACTGCACTGTATATTTAGTAGGAAGTACTTACAGCCGATAATAAATTTTCCTAATTCTATCTGTGCATGTTCTAAACATACTAAACCTGCAGCATAAAATAATTCAGATCCACAGTTAAGGAAAATATTGTTATGGATTTGGTATTTAAATAGCTAATGTTAGTTGATTTAAAAATTAAATTGTTTTATTCCCCGTGCACTGTAGTGCGTGATGAATATTAAAGGAAAGCTAAGCCGGAAAATTAAAAATACAAGAGCACGTGCATTTAACATTTAATAAATATCTCTTTTTAATTTCGAGAAAGTTCCAGAAAATTCTCGCGTTCAATTTAAAATCTTATAAAAGGAGGAAAACCTCTCAGTTTCTTGTGATTTTAGTTAGTTTGTTGTTGTTTTAAGAGTTTGTTTAGAAAACTGCTCTTGTTGACTGTAGCGAATTCGCGGATTAGCTTTCTTTAGATGTTTTGAATGAAGTTCTCTTGAACGTTTGAGTAGTTAAAAGATCACTACTGTGAGATATTGTAATACTGCACGAATATCTGAAGAGATTTAAGCATTTTTTTTTTTTCGATAATAATAAAGTTTGTTCATTATTCATCGGACATGTGCATTCATTTCGCAACGAACCCGTACGCACGCAACAATTTTTGGTGTCAGGAGTGGGGTTTGAATACCAATAACAAGAGCAATAGAAGAACAATTGAGGCAGCTCATCAGTGCTTTTGCTGCATTCCAAGAAAAGATGGAAGCTGGCCAAACATCTTTTAAAGAAGAAATTAAAGAGCAGATGAAATCTGGTCAGAAAAAGATGGAAGCTAGCCAAGCATCCTTTAAAGAAGAGATTAAATCATGACAGGAAGCCGTTAAAGAGAAAATGGATGCTGGTCAAAAATCCGTTAAGGAATCTGTTAAAGAAGAAATAAAAGCTGTACAAGTAAAGACTGAAGAAAGTCAATACGAAGTGAAAAGAGAAATAGCCTGCTTAATAGAAACCAAATTCGATGCTATGGAAGGCAGAATAGATGTGCTTGAAAATAAAGTGGGACAAATTGAGGAAAAAGTTTTTTCTGTCAAAGAAGAAATAGAAGGAAGTGTTTGTTCCGTTCAAAAAGAAAATCGAACAACAAATTGATGACCGGGTTTCTGCGGTTGCCAAAGAATTGGATACATCAAATT